ATCCAAGATTTTCAAATTCAGTTCCATGATCACTCCTCACACTAGTTATAGAGTAACCTTTTTCGTTTTGGATTACTTTTGAAAATGTGATGAATTTTTCTAATGTTCATCTTTAGTAATTAAGAATAGAACCCAAGTGTATCTAGAATAGTCATCTACGAAGACAAATGCATATTATTTTCCACCTAAGCTAGTAGTCATAGTTGGCCCAAAAAGATCTATATGGATCAATTGTAATACTCTACTAGTTGATACATCATTAATGGATTTAAAAGAAATTCGCTTTTATTTTCCTTTAGCACAAGCATCACAGATTTTATCATTATCAAATTTTAGTTTAGGCAACCCTCGAACTAAATCACCTTGAATTAGCTGTTGCAAAACACTCATACTAGCATGTCTTAGTCTCCTATGTCATAACCAACTATCATGCTCATCTTTTGCAACTAGGCATAAATTAGTCACATTAATAGAATCTAAATGCACCATGTAAATGTTTCCTATTCTATGACCAACAAGCATAATCCGATTAGATGCAATGTCAATAACTTTACAACCATTAGTTTCAAACATGACATTGAATCTTTTATCACAAAATTGACTAATACTCAAGAGATTATGCTTTAATCCATTCACATATAAAACATTTTTATTTTGTATGGAAGAGGTATTACCTATTGTACATATACCTTCAATGTGACCTTTTGAATTATCACCAAAAGTCACTTCTCCTCCACCGGTTTTTGTCCCCGGTCATGTGTCTCGAGCATTCACTATCAAGGTACCATGAATTTGAATTTGTTTCTCGTGCCTTGTAGCAATGCTCCATTCCCTACAAACATAGATTAATTTTTGATTTTTGGTACCCAAATTCTTTTAGGTCCATATTCATTAGTTTCCAAAATCCTAGTCCCCTTAGGTATCCATTTGTGTAGGATATCTTTATCTTTAGTAGTAATGAGTTCTTTAGGAACCCACATACTTCTAATGATTTTTCCATTAGAGGTTCTTTGGGGACCTCTATGATTGTGGTTTTTAAAATCTTTTCTAACAAAGTTGGATTTTGAATTTTCTCCTTTTTCAAAATGTTTTGTTTCAACTTTATCAAAAGAAGTTTTAAGATCATCAATTTTCTTTTGATGATCATCATTGACCTTTGAAAGTAAATTTTGCAAATCCAAATTTTTCTTTTCAAACTATTGTAGTTTGATTTGCAAATCTTTGATTTTATTTTCAAGAACATTGTTGGTTTTGGATATGAGTTTGTTTTCATTTTTCAATTTTGAAACATCATTTTTATATTTTAAAAACAATTTCTCATAATCCGAAGTCAACCCAATATATTCCTCTAATAGCTTATCATTGGATAAATCATCAAAATCAGATGAGTTAGAGGTTACCTTAGAATATTCCCCGAATGCCATCAAGCACAAGTTTGCTACTTCTTGTTCCTCTTCATCAGAACCCTCTTCATCAGAACCTTCTTCATCGCTCCATGTAGCCACATGAGCCTTGTGCTTATTCTTTGATTGACCCTTTCTCTTCAATTGTGGGCAATCATATTTGACATACCTCGGCTTTTTGCATTCATAGCAAATGATCAGGTCCTTCTCTTTTGGTTCATTTTTTAGGCCTTAATTTTGTTTGAATTTTCTTCCTTGGTAAGGTCTCATCATTTTTCTGAACCGTTTGGCAAACAATGCCATTTTCTCGTCATCGCCATCTTCATTCGAATCACTCTAATCTTTTGTGGATTTGAGAGCAACTCCAATGTTTTTCTTCTTCTCCTTCTCCTTTGGTGTCTCGTCAATCTTATCGAGGTCCACCTCATCTTCAAGCATCATTTCATGAGTGAGGAGGGAACCGATTAGTTCTTCAAGAGTTAAGGACGTTAGGTCCTTAGACTCGATAATTTTCGTCTTCTTTGATTGCCATGATTTTGGAAGGGAGTAAACTAACTTCCTCACAAGCTTTTCATTTGAAATGATCTCTCCATATGATTTGAGACCATTGACAATCGTTGAGAATCTATCCGTCATAGCTTTGATATTTTTATTTGGTTTCATTCTAAAATTTTTATAGCTATGCATTAAAATACTAATTTTAGATTTTTTTACCTCATCGGTACCTTCATGAGTGACTTGAAGCTTGTCCCATATTTCTTTGGCGGTTGTACAAGATGAAACTCTTTCGTATTCATCTGGTCTAAGAGCACAAAATATAATATGAATGGCTTTAGAGTTGAGCTGGAACATTCTTGTCTCTCCTTCACTCCACATTCTTGGATGAGTAAGAGGCTTGGTATATCCGTCTTCTACAACATTCCATGCTCCCATGTCACTTGCTTGAATGAAGTACATCATCCTATTTTTCCAATAGGCATAGTTAGCCCCATTGAAGAAAGGAGGCTTGTTGACAGGCATCAAATCGAGACCGGAGTCGAAGTTTGAAGTGGAGGCTATTGATGACTTTGATTATCGATGTAACTCTTCTCGAATCAACTCAAGAGGCGATTAAACCTTCAAATGAGTTAGGCTCTGATACCAATTGTTGAGTTAATCGATTGATGGAATTGGCCAAGAGGGGGTGAATTGGCAATTAAAAATTTGCTGGAAGCTTTTGCAGAAAATTGAAAGTAATTGCACAGTGATTTATAGTGGTTCGACTTTTTCAACCAAAGTCTACGTCCACTACCTTAGCTATCCACACTAAGGATTTTCCACAAATTCACTAATTTGTCTTTCTTTTGAGGACAAAGAGTAACCTTACAAACCCTCAAGAATTATACCCCAAATTCTTGAGAACACTCTCTCCCAAAGAGAACAATACAAATTTGCAAACTTACAAGGAAATCCTCACAAGGTAGATTGTTTGCACAATTCTAGAACAAAGAAAAGAACACTCAAGAATGAATACAATTGAGTACAAGTAGTGTTCTTGAAAGCAAAATGAATATTGAATGAAAAATAGGCTTGAAATGCTCAAACTTGAGGTTTGATGCTTTCTCTTTGATTCTCTATTGATTCTAGTTGCTTGTTGTTGATCAATGGCTTCTAAGCTTGTTTAAATACACCTTCAAATGATTCTAAACGTTGGGGATGATTAGTGGAGTCAATAGAGCCGTTTAAGTGTGAAAACAATTAATGAAAGTGGATGGGAACGTCTGTGCATCGATGCATGCCCTAGGTGCATCGGTGCATCAGTGTAAAATTCAAATATTTTAACCGTTGGACTCTCAGTGCATCGGTTCACTAAGAGTGCATCGATGCATAAAATGCATTCGATGTTTTGAAAAAGCCTGAGTGCATCGATGCATGGTATGTGCATCGATGCATAAAATGCATTCGATGTTCAAGAAATTAATTGATGCATGGATCGATGCATGCCCTTGAAAATTTGATTTTAGGCTTGATTTTGGTTCAAAATACTTTGTGAAAATTTGTTTAAAAATAGTTTAAGTATAAAACACAAATTTACACATTTAGTAAGGTTTAAAATTGATCTTGAAAGACTTGGAGTAATAGCTTGATATTCGAGTAATTAAATCGAATATACTTTTAGAAAATCATTTGCAAAATCTTAAAATTCATTTAACTTAATTTGTTATATCGAAACATCAAAATGTATTTAACACAAAAGTTCATCCATTTATGGTGGATTGATCTAGAAGCTATGAATGAGTCTTTAGGTTACCCCATTACTCTACTATAAATAAAAGGTTTTGGGAAGGCTAGCATATATCAAGCAGGAAATTGAAAACAAGTGAGAGTGAATTGTAGAAAAACACATTCATAAGAGAATTCCTCCAAGAGATAAAGAAAGATAGAGTGAGCCACCTTTGAGTGAGTATTTTTGTAAACCATCCTTATTGGGTGATACATTTTGTATCCCTACTCATATAATAGTGGAAGGCAAGTTTGCATTGGACTAGTGTCCAACGATTTTTCTCGATTTAGGTTTTTCGTGTAACCAAATTATCGTGTCTTGTTGTTTTTATATTTATGCCTATCTTAATCACACAAAGAGAGAAAGCAGTATTCTCATACATACCTCTCTTTTTCCAACACCTTTAGCTCCCCTAGCATAAATATATGAAGATTGGAACTGACCATCAAGGTCGACGAATGTTTTGACAACATCAAATTTAGATCACTTAAGTCTAACATGACAAATCTTGTGAATAAATTTTGATTTAAATCTTTCTTCTTCGACTTATCTTCTAAATAAGAACACACGAAGTCGATTTAATCAAACTTAACAAAGTAACATGACCCATATGGATGCTACTCGTACTACTAAAGTTGTTTTTAATCTTCCTTCGTCGATTTTGCTCATCAGTTCTAATCTTCATATGTTTATGCTTGTGGAGTTAAAGGTGATAACACCATTTTTCATTGACTACTTTGGGTGAAGGTAGGTTTGGGAAGATATAGATTGTAGAAGATGAAGTAAGAGAGTAATTTTTTTGGAAGTTTATATTAGTGTTACCATAAAATAGAAAAGACACATGTAAAAATGTTATTAGTGAGCAGAAATAGAGATACATACAAGGGGCAGAAAATTTATGTTCTACAATTATCTATTTATATATATATATATATGTTAGGGGTCAAAAGTTTACTATCAAAATCAAAAGGTATTGCAAATACTCTCATACATCAATCATATTAACATAGAACCGCGACTTTCACTACATGTATTTCAAATGATCACGTGCATTAACCTAATCAAATGACATAGATCAAAGTAAAAGCATTTGGCAGCTGCTCGAGAGTATTGAATAAACGCGACAAGCCAGACATTCCCAATAATGTAATTACTTTTTGTCCATTAATCAAATCACAAGCTATGTACGTAATTACAGTTGATGCAGACATGAACAACCCATTATAATCCATCCAAAAGAAGAAAATCAATTCATAACATAGCCATCCATGAACATCAGTGTGATCTAATTGACAGTCCATTTTCACCCATTGAAAGCTGAATCAGTTCCAATTTTCAACAATATCATTCCAATGGAGCTTTTGTTTTTCTTTTGTCAGAAAAGGTTGGGTTTTCCTCGATGTGGGGGTGGGGGAAACAAGTATATTTGGTTTCTCTACTAAAGCAAAAGAGAGTCTAGCTTGTAGCTATCCGTGTTTTACAGTATACAACCAAACCCAATGGTCACCAACGTTTAAACAAAAAAATAATTTTGCCCTCAGAATTCCCCTTCATCAACACTTAGTCGTTCCTCTCGGATCCCAGCTACCGACCCGGAATCGGATCCGTTATCCAAGTCCCGGGTCCTGGACCGCCTGGAGGATCCTTCAGCACAGTCTTTGGATTTCTTTCGTCGACTACTTTTCTTGTCTGAGTCGGTAGGATCTTTTGGTTCTTTGTGTTCTTTGGGTTCCTTTGGCTTTTTCTTAGGCTTTGTGGGGTTTTCAGAAGTTTCCTTTGAAGAAGTGGTCTTGGTACTCTTCTTTGAATGCTTTGGTTTATCTGATTTTTCCTTCGCTGTAGACTCTCCTGTTGAAGAATTTGAACTGCGCTTTGATGATTTTGGCACTTCTGCCATCTCCGTTGCTGATGAGCTTTGACTCCTCGAACCTTCTACGTTAACCCCATCTGTAAAATCAATACTAATCAATTGGACGTAAATGAACATGAATTATTCTGTTTGTGTTCGAACATAATAATGTGAACTTTGGAGGTCAAACTGGAAAATCTAAGGAGCTTAAAGATCAATAGTGTAATTCAACATTTTTACACATATAATTCGTTGACGGACATAAAAATAAACTGAACACGAACACATTAAAAGAACATACAAAAAGAAAATGATTTTAAAATTCTAAATGAATACAAACGGAAGATGAACACCTTTTAAAATAAACAAGTTAACACAATGTTAAATCTATAACACAAACACAATTTACTTGTTAAGTCTTACTGATCAACATAAATGAAAGCGAATTCCATAAAAATGTTGAAGTCTTAATTTGGAATGCGGTACCTTGAGAGACTGATTTGCGATGATCTTCTTCCCGAGCTTCACAATTATTGGCAGGTGATGATTTAAACTCATTCATCTGCGTTATAAAAATGAATGCCAGAATTCACACCCCATATGAATCATGGCTTTCTTTTACTTGGGGCAATGTTAATTTTTGTTATCATATAAATATGTAGGAAAAATGAAAAGAAGTTTTCATAATTAATCATAGTAATAATACAGTAGGTCTATCGATTTACCCAGCTGGGTGCAGATTTTACTGCTGATGGACCATCCCATCCTATGTGAGCCACATGCTTTACATCTGTTGGCAAACCAATCTGCATTTCAGGCTCCTTTTCATTTTCTGCAAAAACACAAAAGTTCACACATTTCTCATTCCCAGGACTCATGACTTCTTTCTGGGTTACTAACATCTGCAACACCCATTTGGCTAAAATTTGAATATAGGCAAGAGATGGAATCGCATACCAAATATTTCAGAAATGTATCTAAGGCCTTTTAAAAGGCCCTTCATCTTATTGTTCGATGCCATCTCGAAAGGCTTTGATCCTATACTAAAACAACCTCTTTGACTTTGGTTAGCCCGGCAGATGAAAGAAGAACAAAGCTTCTTGTGATGCAAAAAATGGTTAAGAAGAATTGCATCACCTCATGGCTGCAACATATGAAAAGGAGATCAAACCCTTTCCCCTTTTCTTCAAGAAACAGAAATCAAAAGAAAAAAGAAGATAATTTTGGATAAAAGAACATTGGACTGTTTTTGACAAAGGTGTGATTAGGGTGGTGGTGAATGGTGATGACAAGATAAGGATTAGGAAGGGGAAATTTCGGATTTAAGCAAAAGTTTCGTTAATTCAATGGTAGTGCATCATTTCACAGTTTAGACTAGTTAATTAAAACCAGATATTTGTCGAAAATTTAGGTTTGTATCTCAAAGTACGAGGAGACGTACTAAGTTTTTTTTTTTTAATGAAAATTCTAATTTTAGGAAGGATTTAACATGTATTATTATTGCTTCATTTATCATTTTTTTAATCTTTTAGGATAGAGGGTATGTTTAATGTAGATGTATTTAATTTTTAAATCTTTTTGTAGTTTTATACTTGGAATAAGACTTTGGAAAAGAGTCTAAACAGGAGGCTCTAACTGTTTTATTAGTACCTAAATTATCAATTTTGTTTTGTTTTAGTACCTAAAATTTTATTTGTTTCAAAACCATACCTAATATTTAATTTTTGTTTCATTTCAATATCATGTCGTAAAAACTTTGACGAATTATTTTGTCAATTACAATTTTTATGGATAAATTATATCATTCAATACTTAACTATCTTCTCACTCTTATTTTGGTCACTAAAGTTTAGAAATTTTCCATTTAACTACTCAGCTTTCAAATTGCTCATGTTTTAAGCACTATAATTTATTTTATTAATATTTTTTGTGACATGATATTTTTATTATTTTATTAATATATGATTAAAATAAAAAAATTAAATTTTGAAAGTTAGAATGATTAAATTAGGAGTAATTTGAAAGTTACGTAATTGAATTAAAAAAAATAAACTTTAGTGGCCAAAATAAGATTGAGAAGATAGTTGAGTGATGAATGATGTGATTTACCCATAAAAAAGTGTCATGTTGTAACGGTTCGGCTAAATTTTTAACGATAAGGTATTAAAACAAAACAAAAATAAATGTTAGGTATAGTTTGAAAATAAATAAAAGTTTAAGTATTAAAACGAAATAAGACTAATAATTAGGTACTAAATAGGTAATTTACCCTTAAGGTTATTACAATGAAGACGACGTAGGACAAAATTAATCCTTGCTATTCCATCAGTTAATAACTTAACCATTGTTTTTTCCTAATGTATGGTATGATTTATATATTCGAGTACTCAATTATTTTGCTTACGATAATGTACTACCTTGACTTGATTTTTGTCTCAATTTAAAAATAGTTTACATTTTTGGATTAAAGAGGAGAGCATCAAATTCTAAGATAAGAAGGATCTTGAACATCTCTCGTGGCTAAATAATCAAACAACGTCTCATACATAAATTATAAATATGATTACTAAAATAATTGTTAAAAAATATTAAAATAGTTATCATTTAAGAATTATCATCATAATAATAACACTATAAAAATTTATAGAATAAATATCGTTTATTTTAAATTGTGAGTTTTTACTCATCTTTTTTAATTTAAAACTCAAACCTGTACTAATTCTTCCTCATGTGATGACAAATTATTTTAAAACTAATGTAATAATTAAGCTTATTGCTTATGCATCAAACACGACATGCAACTTTTAGCTGAAATTTAGTTTTGACGAAATGTTTTACTGAAAATGATTGCCATTGTAATGTAACGAGTGGCTCTTGTTGATGCACCTGATATGGCGAGAAGCCAAATAGACTTTAAAAGACCGACTCTCACCGATATCAAGATCGATGCCATGGAATAAGCCGATCAGTGTTGGATTCTGTAACTTTGAAAAGAAAAAGGGTTCTTTTTGTTTGTTTGCATTGCAGAAATTCAACTTGCATATGACATGATATTTCGATACACGAGTTCAATTTTATGTTGCGTCTAAAACACTTACAGTGGCCACAAATTCTTGAAAGGAAAAAGAACGATGGAAAGAAATTTGGCAATATGATGAGGGAAGTGGCATGAACTGTTGTAATGGCATTGAATCTTGGGTGATATCCCCCTTATACACAGTTGAGATAGCAAGTTTGTAAAAACGTCGGCTTACGATTGATATACGGCTCTCCGTCATTTCCTAATTGAGAGAAGTTCAAAGCTTCGAAGAGGGTGATCATCACGGCTTCCTCTAACAGGGGTGGCACAACTAAATGGTTTGGCCTCAAGGGAATGCTGGGTTCTTTGTATGGTAGACAAGCGACCACCACTTGATGGTATTCGGTTCGCCGGATGAATTAGGCCTATTTGTTGCTATAGCTCTTCTTGAAGTGCTACCATGTCGAGAAGAACTGCGTCTTTTACTTGAATCAGGGTGCTGGGAATTGCAAACCAACAAAAAATAAGAACGTGGAAGATGAGCCAAAAACAAAACAAGAGAGAGATGAATAGGGTTAAAAGAGAAACTAAATAGACAGAACACATCGGTCTCAGTACTATGGCAAGAAAAATGTATTGGCTTCAACAAAATTAAGCTAATGAATAAATAAGGGATCAATATTCATTATACGCCTATTGATCACAATGCAGTGAAATTTGGAATGAACTTGATACGACTCCATAAATCACCTAATTCTAATACAGAGTTTAGCTGTTATACAAAATATAATAGAAAGAGAAGGATATGAAATCGGAACTTGAAAGCAAATTCTATGGATCTAAAGCTTTGCCATAACACTGCTAGAAAGGAATTTGGTGGCTAATAAGCTTTATACCTGGTAAGAATTCTTTTCTAGAAAAGGTTCACACAAGATTGAAACTCAATAAAAGAAAATATTTGGCAAAAAATTTAAGGCTCACCACATGCTTGGACAAAGTCACATCCTCAGCAGTTTTGTTTCTATGATGATCAAGATGAGGGCTAGTACTCGAAACATTTCTTTTGGAAAATGCTTCAGTTGCACCAGTGAGTCTATCCCGAACCTCTCTTCCTACTGAATGTTGATGTTCAAGGGGAATAACCCATAAGCGAGTTCAAAAACATAAAGCAAAGAGGTTTTTATTAGTATAACATCATATCATACTTAGTAAAAGCATTAAAAGAATATTCCAAGAGACAAACAAATTTTGTCCTTCATCCACATTGTATAATTTTTTTATAAACTCAAACGAGCATCTTCCGAATCATATAGTTGAGTATCAAATATTTAAGTTCCAAGAATAAAGTTTGATGATTGTCTAGTATCTAATGAGAAATCGATCTATATTAAAGAAAGCAGACCTGAGATTCTTTCTGGTCTTTCAATGGATGGTCCTGCAGCTAAACCTGCCCTTCCAGTGGCATGCTGAGAAACAGATGGAAAAGCTGTAAAATTCCGAAGGTGGAATGGAAGCAATCAAGAGCCTAGAATTTTAAAAGCACTTACCCTGCTTCTGGAACTACCGAGTACCGCCAACCTGTGGATGCTTCAACACAGTCCAGTCAAAGACATAGTCAAACTGATAACCTGCAACAATATGAATTTCAGAACCAAGAAAAAATTATTAAACTAATAATTAGTAAGGAAGCCACAATCATAATAACTAACCTTCTCTTATAAACAAGTCTTGGAAAAGCCTTTTCAAGTATGAATAATCTGGTTTATCTTCAAACCCAAAGATCGACAGTATTGAAAATATGAAACAAATTCAGCTGGATATGACTTACAGAGCACCTGTTAAATACACATATGCCATTGTTACCAAGCAGGGAAACAAGTATAATAACCATAAGATGGGCTAACACTAAATTTTGGAATTAAATACCAGACCTTTGTCAAATTTATACAACAAACTCCATTTGCCAGGTAAGCTAAAATAAATTTCACTATAACAAACATCATAGAACTAAATAGGAAATCTTATCCTTTCAAAAACAGTCGTGGAAATAGCAATTATAGTTCCATTGTACCATCCTGGAATTCAAATCGTTTTATAAAGTTTATACTATTCACCAGACATTCCACAAAAGTGGGGGAAAAAGGGAATATAAAGAACAGACCAGGTCTATAAAGATGAAGAGGCCTAATGCAGGCACAAACAATCCAGATATCAGTGAGATTAATAACTCGAAATAGTTTCCCAAAGAAAACAAATTATTCACTGGATGGCGTAATTGATCATACCTCCATAGGAGTTGAAACCTTCTTTTCAATGATCTTATCATATTTTTGCCTTTTTGTACCAGCTTTTAGCCCCTGCCAGGGGAGGCTGAAGCAAAGAAATAGTGCCAATTGAATAAAAATTAATGTGAAGAGAACTAAGAATGAAGATTCAGTAACAACATTATCTGGAAATGCAAAAAATATGACAATGTCAATACTATATAAACCAACCTTCCTCTTAGGAAATACATAAGCTTATAACCAAGGGATTCCAAATCATCTCTTCAGCTTTGCTCTGCCAGAACAATTGAAGAATGCAAGTTAATAAAAGAAAGAAGTAAAGTTGCATCCATAATTTATGGTTTGCCTTACTAGTTGAAAATGACTCACAGATACCAAGGTGAGTGTTCACATTCGCATAACGAGCTGTGCCTGTGAGGTTCTTGTTTTCCCTGCAGCAAAGAACTAAATTAGTTGTTTTCTCTATAAAATCTTGAGATCTTCAAATTCGAAATTCTATATGATCAAATCAACAAAATTATAATCACCTGTATGGGATATGCTTATGAGTCTGATGATCCCTATACTTCTTTGCAAGGCCGTAATCAATGATATATACCTGTAGAAACAAAATTTAAAAGGAAAAAATATACCAGAATATTTCAAGCTTTTGATGTGTAACAAAGTCCTATCACCAACAATGGAAAATATTTTTATCATAACTAGAAATTAAAAAAATAAAGTTGGTTGTACGAGCAGTTTAATCAGTATGCATGTGTTTTATTTGCCAACGTAACATACAAGAAAAACACAATAACTAGTACCTGATTTGCCTTGCGTCCAAGGCCCATCAAGGAGTTGTCAGGCTTTATATCACGGTGAAGAAAACCCCTTGAATGCATATATTCTACTCTATTAATCTGGAGTGGGGAAAAGGTTAAAAAGGGAGAAATTAAATAGTAAAAAACCTGCAAACTAATTATTTAACAGAAAAGTCATATATTTACCAATTGATCAGCAAGCATCAACGAGGTTTTTA